GGGGTCTTCTTTTGTTTGTTTTTTTAAGCTTTTCCATGGAGGAGGAGCAGCACGAATCCCCAGCGGGGTCATTTTGCTGCGAAGCCCCCCCCTGATTTTACTTCTTTGTGGCACCCACAGCAACCTGAAGCTTTTAGGGCCGCGCGCTCCCTCCTGGCGGGGCGCGGATCCCAACCAGCACCGAAATCTCCCCCAAAACAACGCCTCCTTCCTTTGGGAATCCCGTCTGGACTTCACCCCCCATCCATTTTCCACCGGCGCTTCGTCTCTTCCAGGTCAGCTCAATCCATCTCTGTAGGAACCTCGGGGGTCCTCGGGGGGGTTTTATTCCCTTCCCCGCTGCCGGGGGCTATCTGGAGGGCTGCAATGCTCCCGTCCCGTTCGCACCAGGGGTCCTGCAAGAGGAAAGGAGAGCAGTGAGGATCAGGGACCGGCAGATTTGAGCCTCCCCTTCCGCGAGGAGGAGGAATCGATCCAAAACGGACCCGTTTTTTTTGTTTTTACCTCCGCTCGCCTTCATGTCAACACCTCCTGCCGGCCCGAATCCTTTTCCCCTTGGTGCTTCTCCATCACCTGCAGCACGTCCTCCAGGATGGACGGCCCCAAATCCACGTGGAGGGAGAGGAGGGAGCCGGCGTGCGAGAGGAAGGGCTCGGGGCTGCTCTTCTCCTCCGAGAAACCGTTCTGTGGGCTGCAGGGATGCGGGGCGGCGGCAGCAGCAGCGGCGGTTTTATCATCCAGGTGGAGCCGTGGGGGTTTTGGGGGGGCTTGGGCGGAAGGAAGGGTCAAAGCTTGCGGCCCCCCGATGACGGGCAAGGAAATGGCGTTCTTGAGGAGGGGAGAGGAGGTTTCGGTGGCCTGCTGGCGGCCGGAGATGGTGGCCGTCCTGGAGAACTCAAAGGGAGCCGCCTCGGGGCTGTCCTTGTCGGAATGGAAGCCGCTCTCGGTCCTGGGGAGGAGGTGGAATTTCCCCTGGAGGAAGGAGATGTCCCCAAACATGTCGCTTTCGCCGCCGCTGCCGATGTGGATGGTGTGACGGAAATCCCCCAGCGGGGGGCTGATCATGTCGGACGACAGGATGTCGCGGAGCTTCTCCTTCTTGCCCTTCCTGCTGCCACGCTTCAGGTAGATGGGAGCCTTGGTGGACATGGTGGTGGATCCCGGCTCCTGGATCTGCGGAAGAAGAGGGGAAAATGGGTAAAAATGTGCTCAGAGGTAGAATTTCACATTTAGGGCTGAACGCCAGCGCGGCCCAGGAGCTCTGCGATGCCTCACTTTGAAGAGCAATCTGCAGTAAAAAGCAGGAAAATCGGTTAAAAAAAAAAAAAAAGGTGCTTGAATGTAGGATTTCACATTTAGGGCTGAACTTCAGCACTGCCCAGGAGCTCTGTGATGTCTCTTCAAAGAGCAATCTGCAGTAAAAAGGAGGAAAATTGGTAAAAATGTGCTCGGAAGTAGAATTTCACATTGAGGACTGAACCTCAACGCTGCCGCCCAGGAGCTCTGCGACGTCACTTTGAAGAGCAATCTGCAGTAAAAAGCAGGGAAATCGGTAAAAAGAGGCACTCGAAAGTAGAATTTCACATTGAGGACTGAACCTCAACTCATCCCAGGAGGTCTGTGGCGTCGGTTTTAAGAGCAATCTGCCAAAAAAAAGGAGGAAAATGGGTAAAAATTAGCGCTCAAAAGCAGAGCACAGCATTAGGGCCGAACCCCAACACAATTTTAACCCCGATTTTTGCAGTTTTCCCCCTCATTTATCCATCTTCAATCCTTACTTAAGCACTTCTAACCCCGTTTCTGCCATTCTGACCCCAATTTATGTATATTTTAACCCCGTTTATCCATTTTCAGCCCTCATTTATGCACTTTTAACCCCACTGATGCGCTGGGGGAGCTCTGTGATGATTGAAGCCAATCTGCGAATACTGGGAGGAAAATGGGTTGAAAAAGACACTCCAAAGTGGAATGCAGCACTTAGGACCGAATCTTCATGGCCTGAGCCTTCACTGCATTGAATTTAAAGGCAGCCTGTATAAGGGAGGGGGAAAATCAGCACAAAAGAGGAGAAAAATGGGTAAAAAGGAGGAGGAAAATGGGTACAAAAGAGGAAAATGGGTAAAAAGGAGGAGGAAAATCAGTACAAAAGAGGAGGAAAATCAGTACAAAAGAGGAAAGTCGGCACAAAAGAGGAGGAAAACGAGTAAAAAAGAGGAGGAAAATGGGTACAAAAAAGGAAGAAAATGGATACAAAAGAGGAGGAAAATGGATACAAAAGAGGAGGAAAGTCAGTACAAAAGAGGAAAATGGGTACAAAAGAGAAGGAAAATGGGTTAAAAAAAGGAGGAAAATGGGTAAAAGGAGGCACTCAGAAGTAGAATTTAACATTTAGGGCTGAAGCTCAGTGCAGCCCAGGAGATGAATTCCAGCTGCTCTCTATCTCCTCTCCATTGGCTGCGTAATTGATAACGAAACGAGCCGGTAATTAGTTCCAGGCACGCAACGCCTCGTTAAAGGCTTTATGGAGTGGTTCTGATTGTGAGAAAAATCCGGAATCCAGCAGGATTTGGTGCCTGGAATTGAACCGCAGAAGGTATTGGGGTCAAACCCAAGGTTTTGTACCCGAGGTTTTGGGGGAAAACTCAAAGATTTGGGGTCAACCCAAGGTCTTGATCTGGAGGTTTTGGGAGAAAACCCAAAGATTTGGGGTCAAACCAAAGTCTTGGGCTCATAGCCAAGGTTTTGAATCTGAGGTTTTAGGGGAAAACCCAAAGATTTTGGGGGGGAATCCCAAAGATTTGGGGTCAGACCAAGGCCTTGCGGTCAAATTCAAGGTTCTTGAACCTGCGGTTTTGGGAGAAAACCCAAAGATTTTGGTTAAATCAACGTCTTGAATGTGAGGTTTTGGGGGCCTGGAATTCAACCTCCGAAAGCAGCACTGGCTTTTTTGAGCCAAAAAAAAAGGGATTTTGGTTCATCCCTTCCGACAGCCGTCTGCAATCTGACCGCACCCAAGCTTACAAAACCCAACGCAGATGAAGGGGAAGGAAATTGTGATTTTTTTTTTTTTCTGGTTTTACTGAAATCCAACAGTTTGCGTTTCTCGGGGCGAGTTTTCAACAAAAGAGTGAAGAAACCAAAAACGGGCATTTTCAGTCAAAAAAAGCCCCAAAACGTCGGGGTGGAAGGAATTGAGGGTTTCATTGGCTGGCTGAGCCCTGATTATTAATAGCCCTGATAATTAATAGCCCTGATTCCTAATAGCGCCTCTGCTGCTCATTTTTTAGGAGCAAAATCCCATTTTTTGGCGCTTATATAAAATGCATTCATTTCAGTGTGGGCTGTAGGAGCGAATCTGAGGGTTTTGGGGTGAAATCTGAAGTTTTGGGGTCAGATCCAAGGTTCTGAACCTGAGGTTTTGGGGGAAAACCTAAAGATTTGGGGTCAAACCAAAGTCTTGCGCTCAAACTCAAGGTCTTGAACACGAGGTTTTGGGGGAAAACTCAAAGATTTTGGGACAAACCAAAGTCTTGGAGTGAACCCAAGGTTTTAAGCCTGAGGTTTTGGGGGAAAATTTAAGGATTTTGGGTGAAACTGAAGTCTTGAGGTCAACCCAAGGTTTTAAGCCTGAGGTTTTGGGGGAAAACTCAAAGATTTGGGGGAAATCCTGAAGATTTGGAGGTCAAACCGAGGTCTTGCGGTCAAACCAAGGGTTTGAACCCGAGGTTTTGGGGGAAAACCCACAGATTTAGGAGAAAACCCAAAGATTTTGGGAAAATCCCATGGTTTTGGGTACAAAACAGAGACTTCCAACCCCAAGCAGAGCTCTTACGAAGGAACCAAAGTCCTGAGCTCCACCACAACCCCCAGAGATGAGCCCTCAGCTCTCCCTGACAAAATTATCCTTACAAAATCACCCCAAATGACGGAAGAATCCCCAAATCTGCCCATTTTTGGTGGAAAATCAGTGGGATGGAGGCAGCGGCGCCGGATTTGCCGCATCCCAACCCCGTCGGCATCAATAGGGCCGCACTGATGTCATCCCACACCCGACGCTGCTGTGTGCTGACAGTGCAGAGCTCAGCCTCGTTAATCCCGCCTGGATTAACGAGACGCAGCGGGGTGGCACCGAGCAGGGGGAAAAAATAGGAAAACAGCCCCAAATGGCCCCCAGATGGTCCCAAAACGGCCCAAATGGCCCCAAAACGGCCCTGAAACAGCCCCAAAGCAGTCCTAATGCCCCCCAAATGGTCCCAAAGCGGCCCCAAATGGCCCTAAAATGGCCCCAAAACATCCCAAATGGCCCCAAAACAGCCTCAAATGGCCCCATAATGACCCTAAAAGGGTCCCCAAGTGGCCCCAAAACGGTCCTGAAACAGCCCTAAACGACCCCCAAATGGTCCCCTACGGCCCCAAATGTCCCCCATGGCCCCCCAAATGTCCCCATAACAGCTCCAAATGGCTCCAAAAGAGCCCCCAAATGGCCCCAAATCAGCCCTAGTGGCCCCCAAACGGTCCCAAAATGTCCCCATAATGGCTCCAAATGGCCCCCAAATGGTTCCGAAACAGCCCTAATGGACCCCAAATGGTCCCAAAACAGCCCCAAATGGCCCCCAAACGGTCCCCCAAATGGTCCCAAAATGGCCCCAATGGCCCCAAAAGGGCCCCAAAAAGGGGAATTTTGGGCCAACGCTGCTCAGGATGGGGTCAGTGCCCCCAAAAGGTGCAGATGTGTTTATAGGGAGGACAGAAATCCTCCAAATCCTTCATTTTCCCTCTTCCCAGGAGGTGAGGGATGCGGTCCAGAATGGGGTGGAAACGTCCAGAATTGGGTCAGAAGGTAAAAAAAAACCCAATATCACAAATCTGGGCCTTTTGTGAGCCACATTTATGCCTTTTTCGCCCCCATTTCTGCCTTTCTAACCCCAATTTAGGTATTTTTAACCCCACTTTTGCCCTTTTAACCCCCATTTATCCATTTTCAATCCCCATTCCTGCCTTTCTGACCCCAATTTCTGCCTTTCCAACCCCATTTCACACCTTTTCTTACCCCTGTTTATCCATTTCAACCCCGATTTATGCACTTCTCACCCCATTTCTACCATTCTAACCCCAATTTATGTGTTTTACCCCCATTTATCCCTTTTTAACCCTTATTTATGCACTTTTAACCCTATTTCTGCCTTTCTATCCCCATTGGTGCCTTTCTAAACCCCCATTTTCCCCTTTTTAACCCCATTTTTTCCCTTTTCAACCCCACTGATCCCTTTTCAACCCCTATTCTTCCCTTTTTAACCCCATTTCTGCCATTCTAACCCCAACTTCTGTATTTTTACCCCTGTTTACTCCTTTTCAACCCCCATTTTTCCATTTTAAACCCAATTTATCCCTTTTCAACCCCCATTTTTCCATTTTAAACCCAATTTAACCCCTTTACACCCCCATTTTTTCCTTTCTAACTCCCATTTCCCCCCTTTTTAACCCTTATTTATCCACTTTTAACCCCCATTTATCCCCTTTTAGCCCTTATTTGTCCATTTTAACCCCTTTTAATTCACTTTTAACCCAATTTCTGCCATTCTAACCCCCATTTATCCACTCTCAACCCCCATTTTCCCTTTTTTAGCCCTTATTTACCCCTTTTAACCCATTTATCCATTTCCAACCCCCATTTATCCCCTTTTAACCCCCATTTATCCCCATTTCTGCCATTCTAACCCCCATTTATCCATTTTCAACCCCCATTTTTCCCTTTTTAGCCCTTATTTATCCCCTTTTAGCTCCATTTATCCATTTCCAACCCCCACTCATCCATTTTCAGCCCCATTTCCGCCCTTCTAACCCCATTTGATCCACCCTCCTCCTCATTTCCCCCCTTTTAACCCTTATTTCCCCCTTTTTAGCCCCTATTTATCCG